ACTGGGACTGTAGCTCCTATTGTAACAGGACTGTTCTACTGCATTCTGGGGGCATAATCTTCAGTTATTTCTCCCTCTCCCCCTCAGCTGGATGACCTGCTGGAGAAGCGCTCAGAGAAGCTGGAGTCTGTGATTGAGTTTTCTGTGGACGACTCCCTGTTAGTGCGCCGGATCTGTGGAAGGTGAGAGAGGGAGGCAGGGGGGGCTGGCCGGCGGAGGTCAGGGATCTGGTGCCCTGCTGTTCAGAGCTGATCACTGTCATGACCTCCTGCCCTTGTCTCTCGGTCTCTCAGGCTCATTCACCAGCCCAGCGGTCGCTCTTACCACGAGGAGTTCAACCCCCCCAAAGAGCCCATGAAGGATGATGTGAGTGTGAGAGGGAGGGCGCCGCGTGCGAGAGGGAGGGTGTGAGTCTCTGTACTGGAACGATTCCCTGTCTCCATGTCCAGGTGACCGGAGAGCCCCTGATCCGGCGCTCAGACGATAACGAGCAGACTCTGCGCTCGCGCCTCTTGGCCTACCACTCCCAGACCGCCCCGCTGGTGCAGTACTACCGCGCGCGGCAGATCCACACCGCCGTGGACGCCTCGCAGTCCCCCGACGTCGTCTACGCCAGCATCCTCGCCGCCTTCTCCCACGCCACCTGTAAAGACCTGGTGCTCTTCGTCTAGCGCTCCCCGTCACCCTCCTCCTCCTCTCTCTCCCTCTTCTGTCACACTCCTCTTCCTCTCTCTCCCCGTCACCCTCCTCCTCTTCCTCCCTCTCCCTCTCCCTGCTACGTCACCCTCCTCCTCTCTCTCTCCCTGTTCCGTCACCTTCCTCCTCCTCTCTCTCCCTCTCCCTGCCCCGTCACCCTCCTCCTCCTCCTCTCTCCTTCTCCCTGCCCTGTCACCCTCCTCCTCCTCCTCCTCCTTTCTCCCTCTCCCTGCCCCGTCACCCTCCTCCTCCTCCTCCTCTCTCTCCCTCTCCCTGCCCCGTCACCCTCCTCCTCCTCCTCCTCTCTCTCCCT